GGGACTCCAGGATCATGACCTGAGCCGAAGGCAGTCGCTTAACCAACTGAGCCACCCAGGCGCCCAAGGTTATTGTGAAGATTAAAGGAGTGAATAGATAGAAAGCATTCAAAACAGTGCCTGGCATTTAGGAAGTGTTCAACAACTATTAACTATTACAATGCAATAGAAAGTGACTATTACAAAGACCAAAAAAGTACTCTATTTCCAATTATAACTTATAATAAAGTGACACTTTCGGAACGCTGGCTCAGTCAGAAGATCATGCAACTCTTGATCTTGGGGTCATGAGTTCAAGTCCCACATGGGGTACAGAAATTACTTAAATAAACAAACAAATAAAAAATAAAGTGACACTTTCTATACTTCCTTTAACGAGATAGTGAAATAGCTTCTTTGCAATCCCCCTCATTGTACAGTAAAAAAAAAAAAGTGTATTTTTACATGTGTATTAATGATTTTGGAATCATATTCTGAAGGTTAGTAAATAGAACATAACAAAGATTTAAAGGAAACATAAAGATTTAAAGGAAATAAAGATTTAAAATGAATATCATTTTAAATACCTTTTATTGTTGTAAGGTTTGTTTTCACAGATTTCAGGTGATAAGTAGTAGGGGGTCCCTATGCAAGTTCGAGCCAGCTCCACAGTACTAGAACAAAAAGAGAATTATTAGAAAAGCTTAAGATACTAAAGGATATTAAAAATTATCACATATATTCAACATGGACATTAGATCAAAACAAAGTTTAAAACTGATGTTACCTATTAAGTACTCGAGCAATTCCAAAATCTCCAAGTTGTATTGTCCCATCTTTGGTTAAAAATATATTCTGTGAAAGAGATGTAAAAAAAAAAATCAGAAATACTGTTACATCCAGTTGTGAGTTGACAACTCTTCATAAAGATGAATCTAGTTAAAAAAATGCTAGAATAACTGGATATTCACATACAAAAGAATGAGTATAGATCCCTATCTCATACCATACAGAAAAATTAATTCAAAATGGATTCTTAAATATAAGAACTAAAACTACAAAACTCCTGGAGGAATATATACGAATATATCTTCATGTCTTTGGGCTGGGCATTGGTTTCTTAAATGTGACACCAAAAGCACAAGCCAAAAAGGAAAATATTGATAAAGTGGACTTCACCAAAAATAAACACTTTTGTTCAAAGAAGACCAGCAAAAGTGATCAGACACGGGGTAACTGGGTGATGGACATTAAGGAGGGCATGTGATGTAATGAGCACTGGGTATTATATAAGACTGATGAATCACTGACCTCTACCTCTGAAACCAGTAACACATTATATGTTAATTAATTGAATTAAAATAAAAAGAAGTGAATAAATTTTTTTTTTTAAAAAAGTGAACTGGAGAAAATACTTGCAAATTATGTATCTGACAAGGAATTTGTATCCAGAAAAAAGAACTCTTACAATTCATTAGCAACAAAAGACACCCCATTCAAAATACACAAAGGCACATATTACATGATTCCATTTACATAAAATGTCCAGAATAGGCAAATCCATTGAGAAAGAAACTAGATTAGTGGTTTCTAGAGTCTAGGTAGAGAGGGAATGGAGAGTGATTGCTAATGGTACAGGGTTTCTTGCTGGAGTGATAAAAAGAATGTTCTACAATTAGAGAGTGGTGATGTTTCACAACGCTGTGAATATACTAAAAATCACCGAACTGTACATTTTCAGGGGGTGAACGTTACTGTATTTGAAATATATCTCAACATAGCTTTAAAAAAATAAACTCAGACCTTCCCCTCCATTACAAAAAAAAAAGCCTGCCTAAAAATTCTAATTAACCTAAATGTAACAAATTAACCTTAAAATTTTCCAATAATTTAGCCAGTTAATTTGCATGCATAAATACCTAACTCCACTGCTCTATCAAACAGTAAAGGCAGGAGTTTGTGGAACATGAATTAAACTCGGTATCGTTCAGGAGACTTGAATCAGACACATGTTCACAGCCAAAGATGACACAAAATGGGAATGAGTGGGATGGAGTAAAATGGGGTGAAATGGAATTAGGTGGCAGAGGACTGGGGGACCAGAAGGATGGGGCATAAAGTTCCCATCACAGTTTCTCCTCTTCTTACTACTCATCCTGAGGCTATCAGGCTATACAAGAAGCTGCAGGAGTAAGAAGGTAAGACAGATACACAGCCTTGACACCTGGAAATAAATCCCCTCTGTGCTACCCAGTCTGGGGACTGAGGGAGCCCCAGTGGGGCATCCATGAAAGAAACCTCTATGCAAAGATGAGTGAGCTGTGGGGACAAAACATCTCTCACAAAGAGCAGCCAAAAAAAAAAAAAAGTCCAATACAAATGAGGAAACCCAATGCAAAAAAAGAAAAGCTAATAAAATAATCAGAACAAGAATTCACTCCAGACAGAATTAATTTTATGAAACAATCCCAACAACAACTTTAAAGTAAATATGTTTAGAAAATTGCAGAGAGGCACCTGGCTAGCTCAGTCAGTATAGCATGTGACTCTCGATCTCAGGGTTGTAAGTATGAGCCCCACGCTGGGTGTAAAGATTACTTGAAAATAAAATCTTAAAAAAATTACAAAGAAAGGGGCGCCTGGGTGGCTCAGCTGGTTGGGCGACTGCCTTCGGCTCAGGTCATGATCCTGGAGTCCCAGGATCGAGTCCCGCATCGGGCTCCCTGATCAGCAGGGAGTCTGCTTCTCCCTCTGACTCTCCCCCCTCTCATGTGCTCTCTCTCTCTCATTCTCTCTCGCAAATAAATAAAATCATTAAAAAAAAAAATTACAAAGAAAGAAAATTGCAAAGAGATAAATAAAGGAAGTCCATTTAAAAAGAACAAGACATTATGAAACAAAAACCAATCAGAGTGGGGCACCAGGGTAGCTCAGTCAGTTAAGTGTCTGACTCTTGGTTTTGGCTCAGGTCATTATCTCTCAGTCATGAGATAGAACACCGCAAGTCAGGCTCTGCACACAGCATGGAGTCCGCTTCAGATTCTCTCTCCCTCTCCCTCCCACTCTCTCTCTCTCTCTCTCAAATAAATAAATAAAATCTTTAAGAGTAAGAAGAGATGTATACGAAAAACCATTTAAAAATCTTAGAGAATTGTGCAAGACTGTTGAATCTCAGATCTGTACCTCTGAAACAAATAGTGCAATATATGTTAAGGAAAAAAAAA